TATTTTCCATTCGGTGTACGGGGCTATTGTCAAGGAGCAAAGTGAAAGGTCAATATGTGTGTATGTATGGGGTGATGTGGATGAGATTGTTTTGGTGATGATATTGTTTTGGTTGATCCAATTGTATTTGCTGAAGTTTTAAGTGAGTTGTATCCACGGGATGTAGATGCAGAGTGGGACTTTAGATTTTGTTGTAATGTAGTGTTGTATGAAGATGTTTGTTGCGTGATGGTTGTTGTATTTATTTGTTTTTTGTGCATTTGGTGTTTGAGAGTTTGGTATATTCTGAGGTGTGGAGTTTGTAAGTGTTTTAGTGTAGGAGGTTCTCATTTGGTAGCCATGTCGGTTGAAATAAATACCCAAAGCAGTTTTATGGTCAACTTTTTCGGTGGTTTTTATTGCTGTCAGTTTTTGCTGTTTGAGAAATGAGGGAGATTTGCGGTCGAGGGGGCTGTGTTTGGAGTCAAGCTCTGGGTTGTTGTTGCAGTTTAGGCCGTTTGTGTCATTCTTGCACGGTTCTCCTTCATTGGTGTGACTTTCTTCAGAGCAATTGCTACATTTATCTGAGTTCTTGCAGATGGGAGCTGGGTGTCCAAAGCGTAGGCATTTTTTGAACCGGAGTGGAAGAGGAATGTAAGGGCGCACGCACACCGTTTCATAGCCAATTCTTAATATTTCGGATAGCTTGTGTGTTGCGAATGTTATAATAATAAGTCCAGTTTCTATTAATGTGGTGTGGTTATCTTCGGAGTTGGTGTTGGTTGTTTGTTTTTTCATAATTTTTGTAACCTCAGTGACCTTTTGTGCTTTTAATTCTTGCAGAATTATGTCTTCGCTGATGTATCGCAACTCATTACAATAAATAACTCCTTTCGAGAAGTTTAGTGTTCCGTGTTCGGTTGATGTTACTTCCATTTCTGCAATTTTGGTTAGTTTTAATAGTTTCGTGGATTGAAGGTTAGTTTTGGTTTTGACCAAAAGGGTGCCGTCTCTGGTTTTTTTTGCATGCCTCACCGCAAGCATAGTCAATAGATTTTTTTTATGATAAACGGTAATACCCTTTCAAATGAATTATTGTCTTGGCGTTTAATTACAATAAATTTGGGTTCGTCTAGTTGTGATTTGTATAATTTGTTTATGTCAGGTCGTTTGTGCATGTTTGCTTGCTATGGTGTTTTTTGTTGTTGTGTTTTTATTTTCCTTTTGTGGTTGATATTTGTTTTTATTAGCAAGTTAACTGATAAGAGTTTTGCGTTTTGCACAGCGAGGCTTTATACTGTTTTACTGGTACTGACCTAATATACTCTTGTACGTTTCATGTACAGAGTATAAAAATACAACGCAAATGTTTCAGAAGCGCATCTGATCCCATTAAAGAATTTCACTTATGTTGCTGATTAAAAATTAAATTTATTTGTAACAGTTTTTATAACATTTGGAATTTTGCGCAATGTCGGGGCGTGCTTCCATAAATTGGACGAAAATTGCATACTGTTGTGGCGATCTATGTTTTCCTCTTCAAAAAACTAGCATTTGAAACTGAATTCAGAAATTCAGAAAAATGTACATACATGTTGTTTCCCTGGTCCGTATTGTATATTCAAATGGCAGTGGCAATGGCAATTCATTCACATTTTCGCTAACAAACAGACTTGCCCAATCGGCGACACACAATTTTCGCCAAGTTCTGTTAATTAATAATCAGTTATGTGGTACTTATTTGAAACAGGAATGGCGTCAAATATATATTTCAGCTTTGACTTTTATTTGACTCACAAAATGTGATGCTCGAAAAATGTAATGTTCTATTTGGGCCAATGGGGCATCTCTATTCTGAGGTTGTTTTGGATGCTGTATGTGAATGTTTGTGTGTTAAGTATACATTTCATAATATTTACATAATTTAATAATATTTACATAGTGATCGCTCAGATCATCCAAAATTGCCGGTAGGCAAAAGTACAAATGGTCCCTCGTCAAGGCGGTCCAAACAAAGATGTAGCCATGCAAGGCTTAGCATACGCATAACAAATGTTGTAGACCTTATGCTAACAGCGAGAGAGCAAGAGAACAATCTAATCAGGTGTTGTTACAAATTAACATTCATGAGCGCACTTACAATTAGTGCTTACAAACGAATTATATGTATAATTCAAATAACTTAAATCTAGAATTCAAATATTTTCTGACTTAATCTACTTATTCTAAATGTATGGCATGAAATGCTCAAACATCGCCCGCGTTAAAGCAATTCGCTTCAAGACAGCTCGACAGGTAGAGGCGCCAATCGATGAATTGCCCTTTTAAAGTCTCCCGCCTTCGTCCTTTCTATTGCCACGCGCACTTTTCCATCTGCGCCTTTAATCGTCTCTTGGACGACTCCCAGCATCCACTGCTGAGGCGGCGGGTTGTCCTCGTGAACGAGTACGATTGTGCCGTTCTCCAGATTTGGCCGACCTATTGCCCACTTTTGGCGACGCTGAAGGCTCAGCAGGTAGTCTCTGGACCAGTCTGCCCAAAACCGCTGCTTGATGCCTGAGATCAGCTGCCAGCGTTGCAAGTAGGTCTGCCTGTCGTCTCTCACGAGTTACCCTGGCCCTGCTGGCAGCGGCAAGAGCGTTCCGCCTACGACTAGGTGAGCTGGAGTTATCGCGTCTCTGTCGTTGGGATTCGCTCCGTCCACAACGATTGGTCGCGAATTGAGGATGGCCTCCACCTCTACCAGGATGGTTGTTAGCTCGTCGCTAGGCGTTTCCTATTGCCTTGAGGAGGAGTCCCTTTGCCGACTTTAAGACCGCTTCCCATAGGCCGCCGAAATGCGGCACTCGAGAGGGAATAAACTCGAACGTTATTCCCTTGGTGGCAGCATACGACGTGATGGCATCCTGGTTGCTGATGAAAGTGGCCCGGAACTCTTCCAGCAAGCGCGCAGCACTCACAAAGTTAGTGGCATTGACGACTGACTGCCCCACGGTGACCCACAAACCTGGAGAGACACATAATAAAAGAATTAGCAGTCAAGTCGGAAACAATATCAATGTGGACAGCTTTAGCCCAAATGTACTCCTTCATAAAGGTAGTGTACATAGACTGTGTATCAGGCTGTTTTGCCATTCTCCTTTCCAAAGCCAAGAACCGCCTTAAGACTGTCTCATATGGATTTCCGAGAGTTTTGGGGCTGGATTTGAATGGCAATGCTACAATCAGCCTGCACGAGGGTAAGCGTTTGACCGATTCCATAAATGTTTTCTCGCAAAGCACTTGTTCTGGGGTGCACAAACTTGATTCGGACAAATTTGGAACTTCTTCCAACTCCCACAATTTACGGATGAGACTATCTAGTTCCTGACATTCTGGATTACACAAAGAGCTTTGATTGTTGACGGCGGCTCAGTTGACCCCGCAGAACGGCAACGGCCAGCTACAATCCACCCAAGTGCCGTAGATTGCAAAGCCGGCGAGTTACTGGAACCTTTTATTTGACTTTCTCGTAGAAAATCAAAAAATTCATCTGCCCCAAGCAGCAGATGTATACGTTGCAGTCGATGGAATTGCGGATCTACCAATTCGCAATCATTGTCTACTACCAGTTTTTCAGGCTAGTAAGAATAAATATAATTTAATACTGCAAATTCTGCCAATAGCTCAAATTTGTCGAGAAGCTATAGACGTTTGAACAATATGACGAACTTCAGACTTTCGTTTGCCTATGCCTAGTAAACAAATGTCTTTGCGCTCCCTCTTAAGCTTTAGAGCACTGGTCAAGTCCTCGGTCATAAAATGAATCCGTGAACCAGAGTCTAAAAGTGCCCTGGCTAATTGGATCCTGACTGGTCCATTAACTTCACAACTGCTGTTGCCAAAATGATTGGTCGGTCACTGTCGTGTCGTGCCGACATTTGAGTTGGTACTGCAGATTGTGCTACCAACGTGTAACCTAAAGCCGAAGCTTGAGAAGTGTTTGTACTATATTGGTACTTATGCAAGAGCGTGTGATGCGGCTTCGAACAGACTCTGCAACAACCAGATATGCAGGACTTAGTCTATTACCTTTCCGCAAACAGTTAATACATAACTGGCCCCTTTTCACAAATTTAAAACGCTCACCTCTAGCGATCGCAGAGAATTGAGGATATACTTGTATGTAGTGGTCATTCGACTGACAAAACGGACACTTAGGGGTCAATGGTTGGCTTGGCTGTGCTACTACCAAGCTTCTAAGGCCGGCCAGATGATGCCTCCTCAAACCATAACCAAAAGTATGAGTATGACGTTTGCTATTTGCTTCTTATCACCTAATAACAACAGCGATTCATAAATTGCCCTTACATTATCTATTAAGGAGCGCAAAGATGAAGCAGAAGCGTCACAGGGCGTCGTTACTAGAGAAGGACGGCGAGGATGGCGTAAGAACATGTACATGAAATGTACAAGATTATATTAGGTTTGCGCAAGCTGAAAAATGTAACAGGCAGAAGGAAGCGTGGTTGGGGCCTGGTCAAAGTATATATGTTCTTGATCAGCATGACAAGACGAGTCGATCAAGCCCTATCTGTCTGTCTGTCTGTCCGTCTGCCCGTATGAACAACTGGATCTCAGAGACTATAAGAGCTAGAGACACCAAGATGCCTTATGTGTGTAAACTTTGGTTGGCTGCAAACATGCTTACACAGGCACGAATAGACGCGCATAAACATACATACACTCACATAGACGCAATTACTTTATATATGTATGTATGTTATACACACTTTACGTCAGTTCGAAAACCGAGAGAGGTAAAATAAATCCAAATTTTTTGTTTAATTTTCTTAATTTTTTTTTATTTTCTATTATTATTGTAAACATATGTACAGAGTATTTCAAAGTCGGGACACCCGACTTTAGCTTTTTTTACTTGTTTTATATAATAATTTCTTTAAGAAAAGTTTTAAATAACTCTTTTTTCTACTTAATAGAGAACCCGATGTAATTTGATACCAATCTTTTGGATAACTGTTAATCGACATAACTGCAGCCAAATGAAATTGGTAGTTGAAATTGTAAAAATTCTTATAATGAAACCAACATCCGGAGAAACCATTAGAGCTTGGCTTCTGTCAGCTCTAATGGTACACGGCGCAGTTGCTGGGAACCCAGATGCCAAAAGACTGTATGATGATCTTCTGAGTAACTACAATAAATTGGTCCGCCCTGTTGTTAATACCACAGATGTTTTGAAAGTCTGTATAAAGCTAAAACTTTCCCAACTCATCGATGTAGTAAGTATTTTCCAACATATTTACGTATTTATAGCTACAAGGCTTATAGTTATTTTTCGACAGCTTCGCGAACTCAAATAATAATAAAATATAGTTAAACGATTTTTTTATTAATGAAAAGAAACTGTAGTGTGAGTTCTTGCAGCTATGGTGGACCATTTGGAAATAAACATTTGTTCATTTAGTTGACGAATTCTATTTTTGTTACTTCCGAAAGATCGTTTAAGATCGCACCGAAATAGTGCCCTGACACCCATGATACCAATACTGACTTGCTGGGCCATCTCGTTGCGAGATGTCCATATTTGAGTCCAATGCCTTGAGCGCTGCCTGGCTATTTGAAATATATAGATGGACCTGCCGCCTATTATGGTGGTATTGCTGCAACTTCTGCCTGAAAGATGCCACCGCCGACTCTCTGATCCAGTTTTGACCCATCCGTAAACAAGTAGATTGCGTTGCTCCTCAAGTGTGGGAGGTTTTTCCACTCTGTTCGAGCATATAAACGCATATTTCCTGTTAAAAGTGAGTTTTGGTATGGAGAAGAAATATGCTTACATGTCCTCTCACTTAACTTTTCCAAACAGAGGTTTCTCTTAGCCTTAAGACTGAATTTGCGTTTAGTAATTTTCCTATGATATATAATGGGAAGATGAAGAAATATCATAACGGCCTCCGTTCTGCCGATCTACCCTACTGAGTATGGTGGGAACGGTTGGTTTGTTCAGCGCAGGCTATCTCACTACGATACCGTATAGCAGAAACGGTCGGATGATAGCCGTTTAAACCAAGTATAATATACTTGGTAAGAACCCCCATCTGGTGCTTATGGTCGTCTTGGAAATATAAAGTGAATTTGAGGCTTTCTTCGCCAGCTCTCTTATGTTGTCGTTCCAGTGCAGTACACTGTCTAGGATGACTCCCAGGTACTTTGCGCTGGGGCTGAATTATAGGGGATCTCCCTTTAGGGGGTCTCCTCCTTGGTCTTTCTAGGGTTGTTTTTCTTAATAACGAATGTGGTACCCTTGCCTAAAGTGGCAATGAGTTTATGGTCGAACTGTTATCACCGGAGCTTGGGTGTGACACAGCTCCTCTCATTGCGGAACTGGCAGCTCCTTCTGGCATTTGATGAGGGACAGTCCCGTTTTTTTACTTTTTGTAGATTTGTTTGGTGTTTGGAAGGTACATAATTTGCTATGGGGGTTTTCCCGATTTTCCATTCGTATAATCACCTATATCTCGGAGACTATAAGACCTAGGAACACCAAATTTTAGTCCAAGATGCCTTATGTGAATACGCATAATGTGGAATTTCCCTCCCTCCCCCCTCTCCCTCGCAAATGGCGATTTTTTCTAACTCCCGTAATTCTTGGAATTTCGAACTAAAATTTTGCAAATACCCCCAATTAGTTATTATATGTCCGTATGCCAAGTTTCACTATGATAGACCGATTTAACAAGAAGTTAAAGCCATAAATATATTTGCCCGCGGCTGTTGTTGATGTTGCTGTTTGGTTGACTGCTAACATGTTTACACAGACACGAATAGATGCGCCTAGGCATACATACACTCACACAGACGCAATTGCTATGTAAATGTGCAATTATACACCATTTTCGTGAGTTCGAATACCGAGAAAGGTAAAATCGATCAAAATTTTTTTTTTTTTAATTTTCTTAATTTTTTTATTTTCTATAATTATTGTAAACATATGTACAGAGTATTTCAAAGTCGGGAAACCCGAGTTTAGCTTTTTTACTTGTTTTAACTTTCGTTTGACTCACAACTTTAGACTTAACTCAACAAATTGCGATGTTCGAAAAATGTGCGGTTGTTTTGTATACATTTAGTAATTTGCTAATTGAATAATATTTACGTGGGATATGCAAAATATTTTTGATGAAGATTGTTCAGAAAAACTATAAGGCTTATATTCTAGTGATTATTTTTATTTGGAAAAATGTCTTTCTTAGTGTTTTTAATCAAAACTCCTAGCAAAGCAAACAAGATTAGAAACCTCCAAAAAGCCATTTCTGTTGCCCCGACAATTGATTTTGAGGCGAAACTTAGGCGGAAGAGATTTCTGTGGCACCCCTGATTAGCTTAGTGAAAATTTACATCACACACAGAAGACGTGGCAGACTCCACAAAGTATACAAAGTTCTTGATCAACATGAGAAGTCGAGTTGATCTAGCCCTGCCTGTCAGACTGTCTGTCCGTATGAACACTTGGATCTCAGAGATCTCAAAGTGTATGCTACACGAGTTTTTTTTTTTGTGTACTCCGAGATAATAATTCTATACATATTCTTATTTTACAGCTTATAATAAAACATGAGTTTCTTGTAATGTAAAAAAATTATAGAAGATTCACAATAAATTAAAATTGAAAATGTTCAATTCTATAATTCTATCTATAATTCTCTTCTATAACTCGATCAGTTCATCTAAGCTCACTGCCTCTTCGTCAGGGTAATAAATTCGATTGCCTACTGCAATGAATACTCAAAACAGCATTTGTTTTTACGATTTAGTCCCTATCTTTAATTGAAAATAATTGTATATATATTTATGAAAATATTTTATTTTGTTTATAAAAACCCTTACCTTACGCTTAAAATGGAGTTAAGCGTATTTAAATTCATTCCATTCCTTAATTTTGATTTTACCAAGTTTACCTGGTAAATCAAACTAAATTTAGCGTTTCCAATGTCGTTTCTGAGGTCCTCACGAAAATGAGGACCCAATACATTTTTAATAATGTATGTACATTTAGTGCGATGCAGCTTAATTCTAGACGCGGTATCGCTGTCGCAAAATTTTTTTTTGGAAAGGGTGCCTAGATGGTCGATGGGAGCAATTGCAGTGTGCTTTGTTACAAAGAGGCAAAGTGCTACCTCTTGCTCAATTGTTTTTGTTGGCCAAAACCAATTTTTTCTTTTTGTGCAAAGCCACTTCGTGCACCCCTATGTTTTCTGGTTGCCGCGTGGACACGCAGGTCGCAAAGCTTTGCAGTTAACCCGCACTTGCAGTAGCTGCAGTAAGCCCTTGTGGAATCCGTAATATCTTTGCGCAGCCACTCTTTAAACTCGGCGCTCTGCAGCCACACCTCGCGAACATTTTGTTTGTATAATTTAGACATTTCTTAATTCAATGAAGACAAATTTTGCACACAAACAGTTGATAATCGAGCATCAAGGTAATTTTGATCGAGTTTATTATCGAAAGTCGCTTATCGCTACTTCATGATTCATGATTTTCAGTGTTGACAAAGATAAAGGGACAAAATATATGGTGAAAAATAAAGTAAAGCTAGAAAAAGGCTAAATAATTTTTTGTAAAGCTAGAATTCTAGAATTCTAGCGAGAAACAAGCTAAAATGGCAGCACTGGTAATAACGGACAGGCCCACTCGACAAACAATTTTCGCAGTTTTTATAATAAATACATTATTGGGTACTTGTTGTGTCAAATATATATTTTACTTTTAATTTTTGTTTGACTCACACAATAAGACTTAACTCAGCAAAATGTGATGTTCGAAAAATGTAATTTTCTATTTGAGCCAAGTGGGCATCTCTATTGTTCGGTTGTTTAGGAAGCTATATGTGAATGTTAGTGTTTTAAGTAGAGATTTAGTAACTTGCTAATTTCATAATAATTACATAAGATATGAGAAATATATATTTGATGCAGATTGTTCAGAAACACTTTAAGGTTTATATTTCAATGATTTTTTTATGTGGAAAAATGTCTTTGTTAGTGTGTTTAAGCAAATATCTAGACAAACGATTTGAAACCTTCCAAAAGAATTGGTTTTCGGTCGAAATTTGGGAGAACGATATTTCTGTGGCGCCCCCGTATATTATTTTTGTTTACAAAATTGTATATGAGCTTAGTAAAAATGTTTTTTGAGTTAGCAGAAGAATGAAATGTATTTCTTTTCTCATAATAACAAACTTAGCTATATATGTATGAAGGAACAATGTTTGTAAAAGAACTAAATGCAAAAGCAAAAATAAATTTAAACGCGAATTTTATTACTGAGTTACTTTGAGCACCTTTCTATTCGAATATATCGTAATGGTTTAAAAATATATTTGTAACATTTTCTTAAATTAGTTAAATTCTATTGTTTCACTATATAAATAAGATACAACAAGAGATATCGGTAAAGTCGAGCAAGCCCGGCAGTGTAGTACCCTGTACCCAGGTAAACTTCCGACACTGAGGTATATGCGCCTCTAGTAGAAGCAAAAAGAGGAAGAAGAAGAGCGAACTTGATGCTGCAGCTTGTGGGCGTAGTACCGGAGTGAAATTGTTTTGCTAATTACTTTTCTTAGAGTCTCGCTGTTTCTTTCACCGTTTTTATGACTCAGCTTCATCCGCTGTGCTCTCCTTATCGAGATTGGGGGCGCTATCTAGCACGCTCTCTAATCCGATGGTGGCGTTTTTTTTGAGGTAGGTACACGCTAGTTACGTTCCACGCCATCTTCCCGTATCTTTAGTGTAGCAAATCTTCTGCATCTTTAATGATTTGCAGGACCATATACTGGCCCTTGTTATTGGGTTTCACATGCAGCACCTGCCAATCATCCATGGGCACCTCAGGATTTTGCCATTTTAGTAATTTTAATGGTCTGCTACACCGGCAAGACACGTGAGAAAAAGACTTTCGCTTTTGGTACAGAAGGTATCTTCGTCCTGTCGCCATCTTAGCTCCCTCCCACGGGGCATCCATCGATGCCACTACCTCAGTCACCCATTTTAGAGTCGTATCGTCCTTGCAGCTCAGGATTTTCACTCCGTTGATCCACCCCGCACCGACAAAAGAGGAGAAAGCTGCTTCTGGATTCGCCATCTATTGCAGCAAACCTTCGAGCAGTTTCTGGTCGGCCCACGTTAACTTGCGCCTCTCCTCTGGGGTGAGGTTGCTGCTGCTGTTGAGCTGAGCTCTCATTTTCGGAGTTGCTTTATATTGCTGCTTTATCATGCCCTTCTCCGTCCTTTTGTTTTCATCCTTACAAAAGGTTTCGGTACCTTTTCCTCGACCTCCGCTGAGATGCTCCTGCAGTCCGAGCCAACGGCACTGCTGCGCTCTTCCATAATTGCTGTCGTTGTGGCAGTAGCTTTGGAATTCCAATGGCCTTTTCAATCACGGTAGAGGTGTGACCGCTTGCGACACACTGACATCCTAACCCTTGTTTTTCCCTCTGATATCTCCAGCTTAATTTTTATATCGGGGAATCACCCCTAGTGTTTTAAGCCCATCCGGTTAGACGTGTAATTTGCCTGCTGTACAAACCCGTCAAGATACAAGACACCTTCGCCTCTACTAGACACCGTATCGCCTAAGCGTGTAAGCACGCAAGTGATACCAGATGCAGCAAAAAAAATATAACAAATTTGCACAGCGCACACACATAAGGCATCTTTGTGCAAAATTTGGTGTCTCTAGCTCTTAGAATCTTTCTCTTATAGATCCAGGTCTTCATACGGACAGACAGACAGACAGGCAGGCAGGACTAGATCGGCTCGTCTTGTCACGCTGGTCAAGAATATATATACTTTATGGGGTCTGCCACGCCTCCTTCTGCCTGTTACATTTTTCATTTTATGTACAGGGTACAACAAATATAGTGTATATTAGCTAATAAGCTCATTTGAAATGTTGTATTAATTAGTTTTTATTTTATTTTATATATTTTAGAACTTAAAAAATCAAATCATGACGACAAATCTTTGGGTAGAGCAGGTAAGAATATTTTCTTGGACAACAACACTCAATGTCTCTATCGAAAATAATTTTCAAATAGTCTTGGTATGACTATAAGCTGAGATGGGAACCTAAAGAATATGGCGGAGTCCATATGCTCCATGTTCCTTCTGATCATATCTGGAGGCCTGATATTGTTCTGTACAACAAGTAAGTCCTAAAGTTATGACTTTTAATTTAAATTGTTCTGAACTATTCCGGCAGTTTATGAAATTCACACTTATAGCCAATAAGATTGAATCGTTGCTTCTGAAAAATTTTTTAAATGTATCAATACGTAATTTACAAGTCAGCTTGTTATTGCTAACTGTAGGTCCCTCTGCTTTGAGGTAGCATCTTCTGCGCAATTTATCTTAATCACAAAAATGAAGCAAGATCCCAAAAGTGACATAATATTTTGTGCGAATAGAAACCACCTGCGAAATAACAAAGTTATCGAATAGCGTTATTTCGCATGCCTCAAAGTACGCATTATCACTTTTTCCAAGAATTCAGGACCCAATCAATATTCAAAATTACCTTTACAAAAACATTAATTACAATGCTGAGTTACAGAATGAAAAGGCCTGGTTTCAAATAATAAAGATTTTTAAAATAGACTGCAGGGTAATTCATGTTCTTAATATCAACATAAATTGTTCATCGCTTTTTATAGTGCGTAAACAATAACTATTAATGTTATTTAAAACTAGTTTGATCTCGCTAAATTTTTATAATACGTAAGCACACCAGATGAAAAATTAGCTGAATTGGCACAACAGGAAATAAAAATTTTTCATTCATAAATATACTGTAATTTACGTGGAACCCATAGTTTTCCTTGAACAAATATAATATTACAAATATTTCCTAACAAAACAAAACGAAACATCACATTTCGCCTCTAATTTTTGGTAGTAGGGAGGCCTTGAAGATGAATAGAGTGGTACAAACCAAATGTCTTCCTCAATAAGTTATTGCTAATTTTTAGTTTGTTTACAAAAAAGTAATGATAAATGTCGCATTCTCGTATTGAAAAATGGGTTCGATAAAATAGGCTCATCTTCCAGCGTTCATAATATCATTTTGGTCACTACCATTATTTGAATGGATATCAATTCTAAATTATTTGTCAAGAACTCCAAGTTATATTATACTTCTATAAGTTTCGACTGTAACTAATAAAATTCAAATCACACAACTGTCGTTAAAAAAAAACAATAATACCTTAGGACAATAGTAATCTGCATATCATCTGCACAGCAATTCTTAAAGCATTAATACTATGTATGTATGTACTTAAGTATATATCTACATGTGTAGTACTTATGAGAACACTTGGGAAAATAATTTATTGCTCGATGTACTTTATAAAATGAATGAATATACATATGTATGTTTTTACGAGTGCAAGGTCGTTTTAAATTGAAGAAATGATTTCATTTCCTTAAAAACTTATCCAATCACAGATCAACGGTGGTTGTGTGGCGACTTTAATAACGCTTAAATATATCGTTTATTTAGCATATTGTACATTCATAGGTAAATAAAATGCCAGCAATATGTTAAGAAACGAAATCATTAACGTCCTCCCATTTCCATGGCACTATGGTTCTTTGTCCCTTTTTTTTTGGTAGAAATTAAAAAAAAAATTTTTTAAATCTTTAATGGTTTTTATTTTAAAAATTTTCGAACTAAGCGAAAATAAAATTAATTTATAACTGCTTTAGTAAAACATGTGCTTGCGATGCAGGCGGAGATTATTTGTAAGGTTTCAGAGTGCAGTGTTCATTATAAGCAAAACAATAAGTATTAATGCGAAAAACGATAATCAAGGTATGTAAAATTATATTCCATAAACGATTAAGTGCGTTTAACTATTTTCGTGTAATTGTGTCGTGTATTGTTTATGGGTTGTTTTTTAATTTTCCTGAACACGTTGCGCCATATTTCGTGGAATATGTACTTTTGTATGGTAAAGAGTTACAAAAATTTATAAATGTGGAAATACTAACTAATACATATGCATATGTATATTATGGAATTACTAAATAACTTCCTCCCAATTTGATAGTTTCCGGGAAATTTTCTCTTATATAGGAGAATACACGTATGTGTTTAGAGCTGCCTAATATTTGGGGAAGCAACAGTCGCTCAGGAGATGCAGTGGAGCAGCATATTTTAAAGCGACTACTTGACAAAGCGTTACTTATGGGCGAATTGATGTTATAAAAGAAAAAGTCAAAGCATTTGTGAGCTACATAAACCAAAAAGCATTTGCCGCAATACAATAAAACTATCAACATATTCGAGAAAAACCCCGCAGAGAAAGATATAGCTGTAGTATTGAAAGTAAAGAAAAGTTTAGCGGTTATACTAAAACATGGGCTTTCGAAAATTAAATACCTTGGTATAAGGAAAAATGAAAAAAAGGGCGAGTATAATGGGGGCATCCGAATATAATTATTTTTAACTTTAAACCGGGGCAGACTATTTGAATTAAATATTTAATATTTTAAAATTAATTTTTTACAATTACTTCACCGTTATTTTAAATGTACGAGTATCTTTGCTCTCAGATTGCAACGGTTATATGGCGGCTATAAGAAAAAAAGGACAAAAAAATTCGCCAATAAATTAAATTACAAGCCCATAGCTTTATGACTAAATATTTGGTGTAAATCGTCCATATCGGTTATGTTACGGATAGAGCAAAAATCGGTAGAATCGAAAAAGAAGCTTGTAGTTCTTCTGTAGTTCTTGAGATACCAAGATATAAGTAAAAACGGTTAATATCTCAAAATTTAGAATTTCTGCCAAAAAAGGGCAAAAAAAAAACCATATTGCATTTGCCTAAATCGTGTGACTTCATTTGTGTATTCTTCGATATCCGAAAAATATTGTTATAGGTTGATAAAACTGCTGTGTTGAAAATAGTTGCCACCTGATAGTATAACCTTTCGTACGCGAAACAAACCAACAAACCTGTATTTTTTAATTCACGATACAAATCCTATAAAAAGAAAGTGCACTTTTTATACCCTGTACCCAAAGGGTATACTAGTTTTGTGTGAATGTATGTAACAGGCAAAAGAAGGCATGGCAGACCCCACAAAGTGTATATATTCTTGATCAGGATGACAAGATGAGCCACATCCGTCCGTCTGTCACAAGGATTTCAGAAAGTATAAGAGCTAGAATGATCAAACTTGGTATCCAGATTCTCCTAAGTCCGAGAAAGTACAAGTTTGAGTTTTTTTCGATGTGGATATCAAGTTTGGTTATTCTAGCTCTTATACTTTCTGAGATCCTTGCGTTCATACAGACGGGCAGATAGGCGGACATGACTTTATCGACTCGTCTTGTCATCCTGATCAATAATATATACACTTTATGTGGTCTACCATGCCTCCTTCTGCCTGTTAAATACATTCACACAAAACTAGTATAGCCATTTACCCTTTGGATACAGGCTATGAAAAATGCACAAGTAATATAGTTTCAAATTTTCATTATTCAATCTACCAAATAATTTAAATATAAAGTACATTCAAGTCATACTTGAAAAATCGCTAGCTTTTTAGCGAAAACGACAACAAGATTTAACTATTTATCAAATGAGACGCGGTGTTCTTTGATTATTAATATGGCTTTTAATGGCTTGGTAATTGTGCAAAACGATGTTGAATGTGCGAGAATTATTTAGCCAGTGATTTGCCTGCTGCCGCTACAAGTCAGCGGGCCGGCATAAGAAAAGTAATGCACAAAGAGAGCGCCACAGAGAGCGCAGTAAAGGGCGCGATAGAGAGCGCAAAGAAAAGGCTTAGAAGTTAAGTAGGGTGCTCCAACATTCCGGCCCCTTTGAAGGACTCCCGGTCTTTCAAATCCACACGGAGCACCGCCAACATCGTGGACTGGTCGCCTAGCAGCACCGCTGCCTCCAACAATCCTCCTATGTGAGGAGGTCGGGGAAGAATGAACCACCAATCGATTCGTCGCTCTGCCGCATAGTCCGTCAGGGCGTCTTTTCTCCGCTCGAAAGCCGACGGCATGTCCCTCAGCAAGCCGCTTGTTCCCGCGAAGTTCGTCACGTTGTCGCTGAAGACCATTTCCGGCAGGCCGCGCTTCCCGATGAACCTTGTAAAGACGTTAAGGACAGTATCAGTGGATAAATTAGCTACCAGTTCGAGGTGAACGGCCTTCGAGGCAAAACAAACGAATACCGCTACGTAATTTGTAACGGGCGGTCTTCCGCGTATGCGATAGCTACCATGGAATGGGCCGCAAAGTTCGAGTCCACAAACCCTGAAAGGTCGACCTTCTCGAAGGCGATCACCTGGCAAATTTCTCATTATTTGCTCAACTAACTTGGGCTTGCATCGAAGGCAGTTATGTAAAACTGCTGAGCAAACCCTACGAGTATTTATCACCCAAATCTGTTGCTTTAGCAGCCCAACTAACATCTTAAATCGCCACAGCTCTTGCCACAGAGTTTTGGCCGCTATGACGATGGGGCACAAAGGTCCAAGTTGCTCGGACAAACGAGATAATATATCCCGCTTTGTCGGCTTCAACGAAGTAAAGCTATCCTCATGCAGATGGTAACGAAATACATCATTATGAGAAGCCAGCATGTCGTCAACATAAAAACAATTTTTAATGACATTTAACGCGACATGGTGACATCGAGCATAAATATTTGCCAATTCAAACAACAAGCGCACAGCAATAAATGGCGCTGATGCAGTCCCGTATGTTACAGTGTTCAACTTAAAGGACTGCAGCTCATGACAGGCGCTTTCTCGCCAGAGAATGAGCTGGTACTTTTTGTCTTTTTCAGACACGTTTATTTGCCTGTACATCTTGGAGATGTCGGCAGTAATTGCGTATTTATTCAACCGAAAATTTACAAATGTTGAATAAAGCTCCCTCTGAATAGTCGGCCCAACCATTAAAGTGTCATTTAATGATAGGGCCGTTGACGTTTTACTAGAAGCGTCAAACACCACACGCAATTTGGTTGTGGTGCTTTCAGGTCTCAGGACACACTGATGAGGAATGTAGTAGTGCTGTCCTGGAGGAGGAGATTCAAGAGCAGACATATGCCCAAGATCACGATACACTCTCATGAAGTCATGGTACATGTCATGGAGAGTTTTGTCTTTTATGAG